TGTGTGTGTGTGTGTGTGTGTGTGTGAGAGAGAGAGAGGGGGGGGGGACTATATCAAATCCACGTATAATGTCTGACATAAGAGGCTGGCCAATTATTTTGAAAACCAAAGAGGGAAATTGATAGTAAAGCCTACTGCAGATTTATAATAATATAATGAATAGCCAGGATTTAAGATAACTTATGAAGAGTATTGCCAACACAATCAGACCAGAACATCTAGACAACAATTAGATTTCAGTTTTGTATAGCAACATGTTCAAGTTTTGGATGAGTCCTACATAAAACAATCTCAAAGGTCTTCTTGAATAAATAAAGCTCAAGCAGCAAACTAACAAATGATCATCATTCAAATTGGTTGTGAGGAAACTGTACTTTGAGCTCGAGTGCTTCTGCTACTGTACGAGCAATGACACAGATAAAGCCAGTCTCTACTGTAACATTAACAACACTATAACATCTGTCACACATCTGTCATTAGCATGACAGAGGGTTGCCATAGCCCTCTTTTCAATTAGCTGCCAACAGGCTTCTGACACATTTACAATCCCTTAAGTATAACCTTGTAACATAGACACACAAGTAAGCAGAATCATACAAAAAGTACACTACACCAACACACAAAGTCTGCTATTATTGTTATATATATTTAAGTCTTACTCTTAGTTTGCACTTTACTTGTACATTTTCTGTACAATATCATATCACCTCTTCCATGTGAAAGCTGCAAGCAGTCATATGCCATTAATGGTATTAGAGTAATTTATGACTCTAGTTTAGCCTAATGGTCACACATGTACACACACACACACACACACACACACACACACACACACACACACACAAACATATTTACAAAGAGGTTTTGAGGTTGAGGCTAGTAAGCGAGGCAGTGGCAAACATCAGAATATGCTGTGGTCCAAACCCTATTCCCACTTTAACACACACACACACACACACAGTTATTCATCTACCGAGGCCACGGTATAGCAGCAGTCAATGGTGCGGGATTATTTTTAGATTTCATGTGGGTTGCAGATGCTGCTCTACTCAACCAGGTCACAGCAAATAGAACAGTGTTTCAACTGTAACATCCATTGCCCTTGAATTCCTCTCAGTTTCCCCATAAATGTTTGCTTTCCCGTATTTAGCATTGATTTTTAAAGAAGACATTTGAGAGCAGATATTGTGATGGTTATGCCACTTGCACTGCTGCTCTCCTATATCTGAATGCGGTGCTCTTAGTTTGATGAGGGGATAGCAAGAATATCTACAATTTGTAATATCTTCTCTTCTACATCATCTCTTTTCCGTCCTCAGATTGCAAGCTTCTTCACTGGTCCTGCTAGATTAGACACTCAACTGGCCTCCAGGCTGTTGGCAGTGATATGGCTCTATGTTTCCCTCATACTCAGTGTTGGCCCAAATTAAAAGCACATTGGGTTTTTTTAGGGCAACGTAGGGCATTTATAATTGACTGTAAGAAATCTGGCACAGTTGCAGCACCAACTGCCGGAAAGAAAAAAAAAACAGCGCATCGTGTTGTTAGCTGATATGTGTACGCATAACCAGTTTTCATAACACACAGTATACGCCTGAATACAGCTCCTGTTTCAAGACTGGAGGAGTTCCCTTGGTTTTTGGGGTGGAGAGTTATTATCTAGGAGAACAAAAGCTGAAGAGCGGAGAACAGAGCGATCTCCCCCTCCTCCTGTTTCTTTCTATCCCTTCCTTCATCCGCCCCCGTCATCTCTCCATCCCCCCATCCACACACCAACACAAACGCCCGCCATCTGACACCCCTCTAAGGGGTTCTTTTTCAGAGTTGTCTTCTAAAAAACACACAGCTCACAAGCACACACACATAAACACTGTTTGGTGGTTGTGAAGAAGAGCTCCCATGGTCTCAATCCAAGGCAGAGAAACAGACCAAATGACAGACATACAGACAGAAGAGACACCCTTTCTGCACGTGAATCAGGCCCATATGTGCACATCAAGAAGGAGGAAGAAGCAGGAGGATTGAGAGGGACTTTTCTGTTGGTGGGACCACTGTAGGTCACAGCGTGTGCAAAACAACCGTTGGTCAATTGGTGTTATGCCACCTGGCTGTCTGACCACAAGCAGGACATAGGGAGTTGAGTGTGTGTGTGTGTGTGTGTGTGTTTGAGGAGTCTTGCTGGGCCGGACAGAACTTCGACAGGGCAGCAGATGGTGGTACCAGCGTGGTATGGGCATAAGAGCAAGGCGGACTCACACACATGGATGCACACAGGCTGCCCTTGCTGTTGTCAGACAGCCAGGGTTGCCAGGAAGACGTTCAATAAATGCTAATCTGACTTTCACACTTTCACTTGTTGTACTTTCTAACAACCGCTTAAAGATTTACCCATCCAGTTCTGTTTCTTTCATTTTCCTCCGTGCTTATTAGCACTCATGATTATGCAGACCACGGTTCTAATTTCTTTTCTAATTAAAAAAAGTTTCCTCAATATATTACGGATGTCACTGTCAACAAAGGTATAATCAATCTGTTTAAGTGTCTATAAATGAATGCCATTCAACACAGAACAATACTGGTGTCAAAAGCGTGACGTGGGGACTTTGTCAGCCCAATTTGTTTAAACATGACGCGAGTATTGCTTTTTGAATATGATCTTATTGAGAGGCTCATTATACACACAAACAAATTCACGTATGTTTGCTTATACATACGCAAACACAAACATACAGATGCACAGGCACACACACACTTTCAGGGGGCCGTGGCTGAACAGCTGCCTAGGGAGTGGACATCATTTCTATTGTTGGAGTGTGATGGATGAGACGGGAGCTTTAAATGCAGCGTTGTGGTGGACTATGGACTCGGGGGGGGGGGGGGGGGGGGGGGGGG